TCTCTTAATGTAGGTGACTCTGGATTAATAACCAAGCTTTATATCTCAGGAGCTGTATCTTTGTCCTAATCATTCCTTTTACCTCACACTCCATACTGTATCGTAGATAATTTACCTGAAATTTCCTACAACTTTCTATTACACACTCTGTCACTCAAAGATTTTTGATAAGCATGGAGTCAAGGCCTGTTGAAACAAGGAACAGCAGGATATAGGAAACCCTGTGTGGCCACCGCAGGGTGGCCAACCAATTCAAGAACAGTTTCTAGACACTTGATCATCAAGAACATACATGTAGCCAAGAAAGTTGATACTTAACTCATTGCAAGAGGAAAAAATGCATACCATAGGGTATGACAGAATGTGTCAATAAGATGGTATTGGGGTGACTTGGAGGACTTGGGTTTGTGTCAGGTTGTTTGGGGGTGAGGCTGTCATTAAGGACCATCCATCCCCTGATTTGCTCTCTTATTACAGTTTGTCTAGGAGTGAAGAATACAGAAAATCCAAAGCTGCTATCAATAAAAATCAGGAGTCACTTTGAATCTTTAATTGTAGTGTGTAACATGAAGTAACCATAGAAACCTGAAAAGTAGAACAAAATCATGGGGGATGGAGAAGGAGCCTTAGAAAGGGGCTTAGACCCAGACACTATGCAGGGGTAAATAGGAAAATACGAGAACTTTAACTGGGGAGGAGACTGGAAGATAATACAGAGGCAGAGGAAGAAATAAATAAGAATAAAAATGTTTTAAAAAGCCACAGGAACACATCACACACACACACACACACACACACACACACACACACACACACACACAGAGTTTACACATGGGGTGATAGTGCTCACCCAAGAATCCTAGGCTATTTAACAAAAGCCCTACTACCAGGCAAGTGATGTCTTCCTTCTAATTGTTGGCCACAGGAATCTAAGACACTCTCCAATGTAGGTAACGGCCATTGCCCCTAGTTGCCTTCAATAACGTGAAGGTAAGACCCCATTGCTGAACAAACCACACAGTTCAGACACAGAATTTGAAGTAATTGAGCTGGAACCAACCTAGAAGGCTCCTTTCTGAGGACTAGTAGCTCTCATAGCATATGAAGGTGCTTTGCAAGGGAAAAAAAAACAATCAACAACCCAGATGTAAAACATAGAAACCAAAAAAAAATTGATCAGCCAAGCAAGATATCTCCAGTGGTTCACTAGTGGCACTGTTATCTTGAAGAAAATCAACAGTTGTCTAATTTGACTGAAGGCCTTCACAATAGGAAAGAACACATGCATGTTATTGCAAATCTAGCAGAGGACCCATGGCTGGAAAGGCTGTAGATCCTAGAGGAGAACCCACTAGTGACACTTTCCTAAACCAGTATAATTCCTAACTGCATTCTAAATACTTATTCTCACATCCACAAATAAGTATAGCTCCTTATCAAAGAAGTGTCATTTCTTGTGGTGGCTAGAGACAGCTAGAGATTCACCACTGGCCAAAAGACAAAGAACAAATGACCATGAGATTCCCAACCCTAATTGATAATATCTACAACACAATCTCCTACATCTAAGACTCAGGGGAAAATTGCAGAAAGATTTTGACAGCCAGAGGACTAGGATGCCTGCTGGTAGACAGTATCTTCTAGACATTTTAAGAATGCTGCATCCATGAAATGTCAATAATACTGCTTACTAAACAAGAGGACTATTTGTATGAGAGCACTATTTCACATCTTAAACTGGATGGAGAAAATGTCACAAGGCCCCACTCATAGATGATGCTGAGAGGGGGAAGAATAAACTTCCCACAGAAATAAGCTCCATATAGGTTATGTAGTCTTATGTAGTCAGTCCTAAGGACATATACATATTAGCAATAATAAAATTTCTCTAAGTTGTGTATGTATGTGTTTGTGTATATGTGTGTCTGTGTGTGTAACAACAATTTAAAAAGAGGTCAGCCAGTTGTGATGGCACATGCCTTTAATCCCAGAATTCGGGAGACAGAGGCAGGCGAATCTCACTGAGTTCAAGGCCAACCAGCTCTACAAAGCGAGTTTCAGGACAGCCAGAGCTATAATACAGAGAAACCCTGTCTCAAACCTCTCCTGCCCCCGCAAAAAACAATGCCATGAACTTGAGAAGGAATGGGATGTAGGAGTTAGGAGTGGAAGAGGGAGGGGTGGAAATAATGTAAATGTAGTACTCATGTATGATATTCTCAAAAAATGAAAAAATAAGTCATTCAGATTAGTCAGGATAAGAATGATCATTTCTGATTTTCATCGTCTTGGCTTCATTTTGTTCACTTCATTGTGGGTACAGAGCGACTGATATGAGCTCAATTCTCAGCACCAACATGGCAGCTCACAACTTTCTGTAACTCCAGTTCCAGAGGATCCAATAGCCTCACACATGCAAGCAAAACACCAGTCAATGAATACAGGAAATAAAATAAAAAGGAGTCATCAGAAGGACGGATATTGATGTTGTCTAGGAATGCTTATGTTTAGCAGAACACAACAAGCAACTGTCAATGAGTATTCTCATTAACCAGTGAGCCAGTGCTAAATTTGATGAAGCCAGGTAAAGATGTAGCCGGTAATTATAACGAGATCAATAATATTGATATAAGTCTTACACATTGCTGCTTACCTGAGTGCAATCTTGGGCAACTTTCTATTTACTGCTGTCATATAGAGAGATGACATCTTTATCTACTTTACTGAACATGCTCCTCAACAGTGAGATTTGGTGGCATCCTCTTATACTGATGGGTCCAATACAGGAAGAGGCATTCCAGTCCATTAGGACACAGTTTTTGATGTAAGAACGCAAAACAACAGGAGGATTTCAGACTGCTGCAGCCAGTTAAGGCTGAGAACTTTAAAGGTGGAGTTAGTGAAATGTGGTATTGTGTACGTGTTTCAATATAAGATCTTTTGTCCACTTTTATCTACCTTTTGTTCAGGGTGATATACACAGGTCTAATTTCATTCTTTTGCATTCACCATTTGTTGAAGATGATGTCTTTTCTCCAAGTATATGTCTTACTGCCTCTGTGAAACATTAGATGTCTGTAGTTATGTGTACTAATGTTTGGTTCTTCTAATTTGTTCCATTGTCCTACATGTCTGTTTTTTTTGTGCCAGCACCGTATTAATTTTATCACTATAACTCTGTAATATCTCTTGAAGTATGGAATGGTAATCCCTCCAATATTCTTTTTGCTCAGTATTGAGTTGGTTATCCAGGTTTTTTTCTGGTTCCATATAAATTTTAGAATGGGACCATGACAGAATACTACAACTGAAAACAATATAGTAGAGACCAACAGATCATGGTGAGCCCATCCTCGATGGACACATCTACATCACAGCTACTGTACTTATGGCTCAGAAAATATTGAGGAAGAAAGGGTTGAAAGTTTGTGTTACAGGTAAAGAAAGAAAGCCACAAAAAAGAAATCCACAGACCACTGTGGATGTAAGACCAAGTACAAGTCCTTTATTTAAGCCAGTGACCAAGAGTAGGCTCATGCTAGAAAGAACTCTCTGCCCAACAAAAGGCAGTCTCTGCCCTGGATGTGCATTCCTGAGAACACCCCAGCTCCCACAAGTGCATGCCTTTCCGTCCTGTCCTCCCTTGTGTTCTGCCCACAGCACCCTCCCACAGACCATCCTGATCTGACCGAGGGCTGTGTCTGTCTGTCCCACAGCTCCTGGGTGAGGGAGGGCACGGGAGCTGTGGGGTTTGTGACTCTCAATCCAGATCCTGACTCTGCCTTTGGGTCAGTTGCTTAACCTCTGCATTTCCACATTTGCTAATTGTGCTTATTAAACTCCCCCTCCCCTGTTAAGAGAAGCTTTTTCTTTGCTAGCCGCTTTGGTTTATCACCCGCCAGTCGCCTGGGCTCTGCCACATTGTAGTCCCCAAATAAACACACAGGACGCTGTATTAATTATGAAGCTGTTGGCCTTGCTTGTTTCTTACTGGCTAGCTCTGACTTAAGTAATTACCCCATAATTGTTAATCTAAGTATGTCTCTTACCGGAGAATAGTTCCAGGCTTCCTACCCCCATGGCGTTACATGTTGACTCTCTTGTGTTTCTCCTTCCCAGAGTCCTCCTGGACTCCTAGTCCCACCCATCTAGATTCCTATTGGCCAACAGTGCTTTATTAACAAATGTACAGGACTTCCCCCATCACTCCCCCTTAATGTGAAACAGACTGCGGCATGTGGTAGGAGGCCCTTCAATGGACGTGGATCATTTCCAATGTCATCAGCCCTCTCAATTCCTGCCACATTTTCCTGACTCCAGGCTAAAATTTGATTGTTTCTTGGCCCCTTTAGTATAAGACCCTGCCTGGGGAATGCCCTGGTGAGTGTATAAAGCACTGACAACTCTAACATGCATTATTGTTTCTTGTCCTTGAAGTGGAGGGCAGCTCTCAGGGATGTGTCCATGCCTTTACTTGGATCTTCATTGCTACCTATGGGAATAGTTCAGAGTAAGTCCTGTGTTGTGGCTGGACACTCTCATTCCAGCCTCGGGCCAGCAGTGTGACAATGTGGTGGTCTACTTCTTGGGGTATTAGCAATATTATGGAAGGTCAATGGGTAGCTTCAAAGTGTAGTCTAGTGTAGTGGCTAACAGTGCAGACTTTGGGGTCAGACTTTCAGGTCCTTTCTCATTATAGTACTCACTTATTCTGAGAATTTGGTCAAGTCACATAGCCCACTTGTAACTCTGTCTTCTAAAATTGTTGATTATACTGTCCACTCCCGTTAGCTGATAAAACAATTCTTGAATTAAAGTTAAACCTGTCATTCTATTGATATAGACAGTCTCCAATGGTATGCTCACTCTCTGGAAGTATTAGATAACCAGGAAGTAAAAGCAGGACAAAGCAGTAATGTGGGAAAAATCTGGTTGCTGCTCAGTGAGAACAAGGCAATTGTTGGGAATTATATTTTTGTTTGCTTTCCCATTCACCTTAGGGAATGTTTCTCCTCCAGTCTTTATATCATCAACGACAAGCTGTTTGTGAGGAATGTCCAAGGGATTCCCTGTGCCTCCATCGCTGTGGCCACATCTTCTGACTATTTGCCTGGCCTCTGTGAAGATCAACAGAAGATGGTGCAAACATTCTATGCACAGTCTGGGATGAATGTCGAGGGGTCTCAGAGGTGAGCTCTGGGTGTACACAGTGATGTAGTGTGAGGGAGGAGGGTTAGGATAATGAGTTATGGAAACATGTAGGCTTCACTTCTTTATTTCATTCACTATTTTAATGAACAGTTCCTTCTCCATGAACAGTAGGCTAACTAACCATTTTAAATAGCTATTTGATAATTTCCCAAAATACATGGACCCTGTTCATTTAATGAGACATTGGAATTTCAGGAATTTGCCTATATTATGGCACAAGTGTCATCTCGATGAATATCTTGAAGTATATGTAGAGGCATGTTTCTGTGCCATAGACCAGGTAATGCCTTTGTGTTGTATATTTTCTTATGTTTTAATGGGTGCTGTTTGTTCATCTTCTATCTCAGGTGCCTTAATGATGAGCTTTGGGATTACAGCAAAGCAATACAAAGCCTTGCTGTGCTCAAGGTGAGGTTTGGAAATTAAAACCAAGTGATAAAATGCCAGGTGGCCTGGAAATGATGCTAGTATTCTTGTATCTGCTGATCTCCTAATTGCCTCCTTTACCTCCTCCTGGTGAAGGACACAAGCCCAGAGGATACCTTCACACAGACAGGTCCAGGATCCTAAGAACACACAAAGAAGAAATTCCTAGGTGCTGCTGTCTTCTTTCTTCAAACCTCTGTTGTCATTTTCTTCTAGTAATTTCCATGTAAATGAATTGGGCCATCTAGTTACATTCTGGAAGCTAACGCCTATCTTGTAAAGCTAACTCATTCATACATCTAAAGGAATTGTTGTTTGTGTATTTGCCACATATTTCAGAATCCTTGTTTCTTATATTTTCTTTTATTATAAATTTTATTAAATTTGTTGAGCATTTTGTGTTTATGTAATATATTCTAGTTACTCTCACCCCTCACCCTGTCATATCTCCTTCCTACCCCCACTTCCCTATAAGTCAGTGTCTCACACTCATGTCATTTGTTTTGTTATGCCTCTCTGAGTATAAACAGGGCCATCTATGTGACCGTGTGTTTGGAACTGTCCATTGGGTTCACCTGTTAAAGACAATGACAGATTCCTCTAGAATCTGTCAGTAGCCAATAGTTTGACAGACAAGGATAAACCCCCATTCTATTATTGACTAATGAAAGCCTAGTCTTGGGTAGGCCCAGTGGAGGCCGTCTCGGTGGCTAAAAGACTATAGTAATTGTGCCATGCTCAGAAGATACTACTGATGTTGCCAGTTGAATCCCTTCAAAATCCCCTGGAGGAAGATCATATTATAAGAATGAGTACCACTAAGGAAGAGCTGCTGCAGAGACTGAAGTCTTAGATCCAGTCTTAGGCTGTAGAGTTCTGCTCCTCTATGCTGTATAGCTCCCTATGTTGAGCATACTCTATAACCCCTTTAAAACTGAGTACTGATGTTCTATGTGCCTAAAATATTAGTCAAGTATTTCATGCAGATAACAATATTCTTTTATTAACCATACACATTTATTGAAAATTAAATACAGTATAATTGGTAGGATATAGCATTGAATAACACATAAAGGCCTGTGAAGAAAAGTAACTCCCATGTATGTAATTGTCATACTATAAAAATCCTTGGTACAAAAAGCAGTAAGAGTAAGGAAATTACTATTTTCTATTTTTATTAAAAGCAATAATATCCAGGAACCCTATGAAAATATGTTCAAACACTAAAAGTATAAAAGTAGCCACAAACACTGAGATAACTTAGAAAAGGAAAATAAAGATTATTATTTTAAGAAAAAAAAGTATCCTTCATCTGCCTGTTTCTAATAGAGCCAGGCAGGTCGGTGGTTTCTCTTTCTCTTACAGGGCAGGCAGCCCCAGGCAGGCGAGCAGGAAGAGAAACCAAGGGCCTTCCCAGAGCCATTAGAACCAGGCAGATGAAGGACACTTACATGGCTGCCTGGGGCTGCCTGCCTTGGGCAAGGAAGAGAAACTGCAGTCACCATGATGCTGAGCAATTATGTGGTGGGGTATGGGAGAGAGGCAGATCTGAAGAGGGGACAGTGGTTAGGAATGGACTGATTGGGAGGTCTGCTTACCACCCAGAGTCATGATGACATCTGGGCCTGGGCTGCTGCTAAGGGCCATGTCTAGGTCTGTGGCCCTTCAACAGTTGATATTTGTGTTGATGTCCGTGGCTCTTGTTGCTTTGGAAGGCCATGAGGATGCTCAGGATCTGAACTGTCATCTGAGGCCATATTGGCATCTGAGTCATGCTGCTACTTGGGCCATACAGATCTGAGTGCCCTGCACTGCCATCCAGGACCATGGTGACATTCAGACCCAGGCTGGTGCTGAGGGTTCATGGTCCTACCTAAGCTGGGGTCTGTGTTGATGTTTGTGGTCCTTGTTGCTCCTGTATTGCCACCAAAGGCCTCATGGATGCCTGGATTCTGGGCCACCACATGTGGCCATGTTGGATTCTGAGGGACATGCCACTGCCAGGGCTATGCCTATCTGAGTGGCCTGTGCTGCCACTTAGGGTCATGGAGTCATCCAGGCCCTGGTTGTGGACAAGGGGCCATGTTTGGGTCTTGTAACCAGGGTCTGTGTTGATATCCATGACTCTTGTTACCACTGAAGGTCATGCAACTGTCTGGGGTCTGGCCATCTGGGGCCATGTTGGAGTCTGGGGACTATGCTACTGCTAGGCCCATGCCCATCTGAGTAGCCTGTGCTGCCACTTGGAGCCCATGGTGACATTTGGGCCCAAGCTACTGCTGCTTGCTAGCCATGTCTGGATTATTGGTCGTACATTAGCTGGAGGCTGTGTTGATGTCCATTGCCTGTGTTACCATAGGGACCCATGGGAACCATGTGTTAAACAATGTGTTGAAGTACAAGGGCCATGCTGAGCTGGCTCTGCCCCTAAGTGGCCCTGTGAGAACTGCCTCGCAACAAGGAGCTGACTCCACCCCTTACCACAGATGTGAGAGAGGTTGTTCTGCCCCTCGACTGAAGGGGATGGTCCCAGAGGCCTGATTGACCAACTTGGCTACCACCCAGGCCCATCTCCAGGCCTTTGAACAACTACCCCATCTATGACCTGCTGGAGAGCATGAAGGGACTGGTCCTCTGGACTCAAACCTCCAGGATTTCCATGAGTCAGGGTACCAGAGGTCTTGATACACTCCTCAATGACCACTTTCAAGTGAAGCTGTTTGAACAAAAGGTATACTGCACAATATACAACAGCTCCCAATGGCGCTAAGACTAATGAGGAGGGATGGAGAGGCTGGAAAGATGGAGGAGCGAAGTGGTTTTTGTTGTTTGCTTTTCTGTTTTTGTTTGTTTACATCTGTTTTTAATTAATATTCTTAGCTGTGTTATTTACTATTTATTTTTAAGTTTTCCTTTGTGGAGGGAACACTAAAAGGGTGAAGGGTAGATACGAAGGGACTGGGAAATGAATGGGAATGGGGTACATGATGTGAAAATCCCAAAGGATCAATAAAAAATCATATTAAAAAGGAGAACAGAAAGAAAAAGGAACATTTGAGTATATGTGTCTGCATACATAAGTGTGTATCTTTATTTGGGTGCCTATTGTTGTCCAAAGCTTAAAAATATATACTACAAAATGGGTAGTTTAAATCTACAGAAATTTATTTTCTCACAATCTGGAGGTTATAATTCCCAAGCCAAAGTGCTAAAAAGACCATAAATATCTTGTAAGATTCTCTTTAAATTTTTTAATTGCCATAAAAATATAAGGTTTCATTATAGCATTTTCAAACACAATGTCTCAAATTTAGGACTTAATCACACACACACACACACACACACACACACACACACACACACACACACACACACAAGAACACCAAAAGCTACAACCCATATATGAAAAAGAACATATAGTATTTGGCTCATTGATAGTATGTCTTATTTCACTTAACATAATCATCTACAGTTACATTCGTTTTACTGTAAGTGTGAGACTCTTTTAAGTATGCAATTTTGTCATCTATAAATTGGGATAATTTGACCTCTTCCTTTCTTTTTTAACCCCTTTGTATCTTTCTCTTGCATTATTTCTCTAGCTAAGACTTCAAGAAATATATCAAATTTTAAGGGCGGAGAGAGTAGGCACCTTGTATTCTTCCAAATTTTATAGGAAATGTTCTCTTGCCTCCATTAGTGTAATGTTGACTAAAAGTTTTTCATAAGTAGCCTTTATTGTTTTGATTTATGTTTTGTCTATTCCAAACTATTCCAGGACACTTTTGTAACTTAAAGTCATCCAGTGTAAAGCATTTTACTATAACAGCTTTTGGAGACATTACTATAGATATATATGCCTGTGCATACACATATACATTAACAAATATTTCTTTCTGAAAATAACAATCTTTATTTTTCATAACTTAAAGTCATCCAGTGTAAAGCATTTACTATAACAGCTTTTGGAGACATTACTATAGAGATATATGCCTGTGCATACACATATACATTAACAAATATTTCTTTCTGAAAATAACAGTCTTTATTTTTTGTTTCTAAATTAATGTTTTAATATCCCTGACCTTTTTGTCCTTTTAAAAATTTAATAGCTTACTAACTCCAATTTGTGTTGTCCATATACTTCTTGTTATGGAGGTATTCACTGTACTGTGCTGGACCTACCAGGAACCACACCCTTAAACCTTGACCCTCCCTCCTCCAGAAGCCATCACCTCTCCATAGTTCCTTAGTTAGAGATGGAAGCCCATGAGCCCTTTCATCTGAATGCTGCCAATCCTATTGGCTGAGAAAATTTGCATCTATGTTCATCTGGGAAACTTGGTGTGTAGCTTTCTTTTACTATTATGTCTTCATCCAGATTTAATGTCAGTGTAATAACTGGCTTCATAGAATTGGTTTTGTAGCGTTCCTTTCATTTCTATTTTGTAGAACAGTTTGAGGAGTATTGGGATTGAACCTTCCTTTAATGTTTGATAGAATTCAACAGTCACCCTGTCCAGTTCTGGGATTTGCTTTGTGGAGAGACTTGTAATTACTATGTCAATTTAATTGCATTTTTAATTTTTATAACATCTTCTGGATTTAATTTCAGCAGTACCTAGGAGTTTAGAAATGTATTCATTGTTTTTATGTTTTCCATCTTTTTAGGATAAAACTCTTCAAAGTATACCACAATCTGGACTTCATTGAATACAGTTTTAACAACTCCCCTCTCATCTCTGATTTTATGAACTTGAGTTATCTCTCTTCTGTTAGTTTAGCTAAGATTGTTGTTAGAATTGTTAATCTTGAAGAACCAACTCTTTAATTTGTATGTATTGTTCTTTTATTTTCTATTTCATTAATTTTTGCCTTAATCTTTATTATTTCTAGACATGTGTTAGTTAGGTTTTCTCTCCTTTTTTGACAGTATCTCACTATGTAGCCCCAGCTGGCCTGGCACTTACTGTGTTTACCAGTCTGGCCTCAAACTCACAGAAATCTTCCTGCTCAGTGGTCTGGAGGTGAAACGGTTATGATAAGGATCCCAGCAGCAGTCCACACCTCCAGTGTTCCAGAAGAGTTAACAACCAGAACACAGCCAGGATTCTACCCAAGCTGGGTGCAATGAAGAACAGGCAGTCTTGAGATCTCCCTTTCTCCTTCCTCAACAGACACTTGTGTACTTTGCATGGAATCTACAAAAGTTTAGGATACTTTTGAGGTTTCCAGTATGGGCATAGACTTCTATTCTATGCTAAAAGATAATTTACCAGGGAATGACTTGTGGAAGAGTTGGAGAAGATACTCCAAAGGTGAATTCTCCATGTGGTTTGGAAATATACAACAGGAACCTGACCATAGGAAATTGGGGGCTCTGGAATTTGGTGGTAG